CATAAATAAAATAAAGGCAGCATTTAATTCATGCAGCAAAACTAAAAGCTGCCAAACAAACTGGAATTGCTAAATACAATAATGTATTTAGTAGTGTTTGTAGATTCAGAAAAGCAAAAGGTAGAGAAATTCTGTTTACCTTTAAATACTGAAGCAAGCATGTAAGCTATGCTTGACACATGGGAGGTGTATTAACACAGGTGATAACATTTGTGTTAACAGTGGCCTGATTATGGGTAGACTTGCATGCCTGTAAATGTCTTCACGTGTATAAGCTCATAAACTTAAGTAATTTGCAGTACAACATTTTCAAGATTCCCATATTAAAGCAATGCAAAAATCAAAAAACAATGCAAAAATGCAATTGGAAAAATTTAACAGTGCTGTTCTCTTTCCTTCTTTTCTTTTAGTATCATTCACTTTTCCAGTGGAGAACTACCTGAAGTATAGGTAGTTCAGGGCCACAAAAGAACAGCTAATTGAGAATAATCCTTTTGAAACAATGTCCATGGGCTAATCACAAACTCTCTCTCACACTTTAGGTCAGAGGTGTAAAAGGAGTCTTTTTGGCCAACCAGAAGATTGATGGGAAAGTTACAACTCTAATAACCTACAACAAAGGCCGTGACTGGGATTTTTTAAACCCTCCAGACACTGATATGAATGGCAAACCAACAAACTGCAAGCCTGTGAGTCGATCTCTTAACCTATCCTCTGTTTGAAGTGCACAAGCATTATTTGTATTCTAGGACACACAGTAGTTTAGACCGCCTGAGAGCCCTGTGCTGAGTTTACCTGCTAGACTGATAGACAAGGTTAGTTGCATGACATGAACAGTGTTTTCACAGGCTGTTAGTCCTTCCTTTAGAATGAGTAGTCATGACTGTCTTTAGCACTACATTCCTCATTTTAGAGCCTAAGGTAACACAAAGGGGACATTTTTTTCTTCTATATCAACCTTCAGAATAATTGTAACAATCATTTCGGTCTAGATATGAGGTACTTCATCAAACAAATATTGCTTACAAATATCTTTTCTGCTTCCGTCTTTCATAATTTCATTCATATTAAACCAAGATAAGCCTGTTAAAGGGAATTCTTGACAGTTGCTTGGGAATAAAAACCACATGGTTAATTCCATCAAAAAGTCTATTTTTGCTGTTGTGAGATTATGTTATTTCAGTTTATTTACATGTCCCAGCTATCCATAATATTTTCCTATTTGTCAGCCTGTATTGAAAGTGCTGTATTTTTCTCACTGGCTGTCTGCTCCTGTGGACTCTGAGCTCTGCTTTGCTGGAATAAATAAATTCCCTTACTCCTGTCACTTCTAGAGATTTTATCCCTCTCCACATATCTGAAAAGGAAGATGGGATGTGGGATGCTTTTGGCTCCCCTTTTGAAGAGATCAGGACTTGAGTACATGGTTCAAGCCTGCAGGGCCTGACCCAGAGCTCTCTGAGATTATTAGAAGGACTTACACTAATGGGGATGGAACCAGCTCCCAGTGATTCCTGATTTCCTGTGAAGTTAATGGTCATATGGCTATAAATTTAAGTCAGGGCAATAATGATGCTCAGGTGACACTGTGGAAAGAGCAGGAAGCAGGAAGTTGATTAGCAAGGAGAGATGATTAAATGCATCCAAAAGTCATTACAGTACTTTGTGTATGACTCTTTTCTGGAAAAGAAATTCCAGTGTAATTAGGTTTATCATCATTTAATCATTTTAGCTAGTAAACTGGGACCAAAAAAAAAAAAAAGGCAAAATATCTACTGTTAGAAGGACTTTTTGTACTGTAACTTCATGCTAGTTTCTGATTTTGCAGACCTTTTTGCTGAGACCACAGCTAACTAAAGAGACAGTACCCGACTGCTGCATGGGAAAAAGACATTCTCTTTCTCTAAAAAGATGCACATCACTGAAGCTATTCTCTGTTTGTGCTTTCATTTTCATAAAAGTATAATTATTAACTTTTTTTTTTAAACCGTCTTCTTCTTACCCCACAAGCCTGATTGCTACCTTCACCTCCATCTTCGCTGGGCAGACAATCCATACGTGTCAGGAACAGTCCATACAAAGGATACTGCACCGGGGCTGATCATGGGGGCAGGTAAATGCATGATAGTATCTTTTAAGACCTGAAATGTGGATAATGTTCTTTGCAGAACTAGCCTTTGAATGATA